CATCCACATGCACCCTTGTCCTTGAAGCTTTTGTTTGCAATGTCCTTGAAGCTTTTGTTTGCAGCCAAGTTCTGTCCTTGCTGGCAGTGGTGAAAACAAAAGCACTGCTTGCTAGCACTTGTTCCCTTTCAATTTTAGGGGATCTGAAAACTTTCTTTACCAAGAACAAAGCATGAATTTTTTTTCTTTACATAATTTTTCTTCTGTGCATGCACAATTTTCTATGAATGCATGATACTCTGTGCATTCATAGTTTTCTGCAAGCATTTCATAAACCCAAGTGATTTCAAATGCTTCCTGTCGTGCTTTGTGTATGAAAATTTCTGTGTGTCTTGAATTGCTCGTTAAAATAATGTTTGGGCTGTATTTTGTTGGCTTCTTATAATCTAATGAAATATGAATCCCTTTATCTCACAAGAATTATTTTGTACCCTGACACCCAAGATGCTGGCTCACAACTACCTGATTTTATAGGTGCTTTCCCACCTGACAAGTGCATTCTCTGTTCTGAAGGTGACATGTTGCCTGAAACACACAAACCTCCTGTGCCCCAGAGAGGTGGTGGCTCAGTAGGCTGCCAGCCCAAATTTAATGGCTTGGCATCTCCAAGGGGGCTGGGATCAGGACATGGGTAGGAGTAAAACCAAGCACAAGCTTGAAAAATGGATAAATCATACCAAATAATTTCTTAAATACAGTATATACCCTCCTGCCTTGTTGGTCATTGTAGATTGTTTCTTCACTGATGGGTTTTTATAATCTGAACAGGGTGGTTTGCCAAAATCCTGTATCAGATGTTTCCTCCAAGAAAGATTGTGTCAAGAGGTCAACTCACATGATGGGAGATGCAGAAGAGAGTTAATTGGTTACAAGTCAGACAGAACTAACAGATTATCCCAAAAATAAGTGTCAATATTCATGAGGAGACCAACACTTTCTTAATGTTTTAAATGTAATTTTTCCAAATGTTTAAATTGAAAAGGAAACAAAAAAAAATTAATTTCTTGATTTGGTTTTGTGTTTCTTTTTTTTTTTTTTTATGCAAAGTGATGGGTTTCAGATGCATTTGCAATTTTATTTTATTGAAAGGTATGCCATAAGAGAGGGATGTTTAGCATATCATGTTTTGGGACTTTATTGAACTAAAGGCAGCAAATCTTTCCCTGAGCATAAAACCACACATTTTTCTGCAACAGCAGAAAACCTTTTAATTTTGTTTGCAACAGCAGGCAATTTTTTAATCCTATTCTCTGGGCAGTAAAACAATTTTGCAGCATTAGAGCTGCAAAAGGGCAAAAAAGCATTTTTTGTTTGGCTTTCCTGCTCTTGGAGAATTAGTCCATATTTTGTATTCATCAGTCATCAGAGGTTTTCTTCTGAGCCTCATGACCTGAACCTGCTAAGTAAGGCAAATCCAGATTAGAGCCTCTCACCACAGAAATACAGGAGAGATCAGGAGGGAAGAGGTGGGAGGAAGAGACAGGCAGGAGGGGAATACCGAATCACCACACTTTATTTCTTACTGTATTTTCAAATTCAGAATTTCCACAAATGTCCCAAAAAGGGTAACATTTTACATTTCTGCAAGAAAGGCAATTGGATATTTCTTCTCCTTGAGCTTGTTTCTCAGATCAAAACTAGCTGAGTAAGTAGGGAGTGGACATGCTGGAAGGAAGCATACAGTATTGTTTTAGCTTTAAGTGGTCCTTATTTGTGACAGCTTGAAGGTCCCTCAGTTAAGGGTGCCTTGGAGGTAACTCCAATTAAGCCAGTTTCAAGCTGAAGAGTCAAATCTAAACATTGTTTGGTTTGGTTGATCTGAGCTCTTTTCCTTCATTTAGGCTTCTCCTGCCTTGTGTAGCATCAGAGGAGTTTTAATCCTCCAGACAGCTCTGTGTGAAATACTCACCCCTTTTTGTGCTGAAATAGCAGAAAAGCTTCTTGAATTACAGTGTTTTGCTCAGAGACAGCTCTGGCTTCTTGGGATGGGACCTCTCATTGTGCTGAGCTCCCTGAACAGTCCTGGCTGCAAGGATGCCTATGAATTATTGTTCTTATTGTTATATTTAACACAAGCCCAGGCACTGACCTCTCCCTCCTGGGTTATATAGGTCCCTGAGGCATCAAGGGTATTTTCCTGTCTGTGAGATAAAACTGGCCTTGAAGGAAGCCAATTATGTACAGCCAACACTTTGCTCCGACTCCTCCTCTCCAGCACTGTGGTCTCTCTCCACCTTTGGATCTCTCTGACCACCCCAACAACTTTCAGAGAGCTCCAGCATCCTCCTTCCCATGCCTCCCTGAGATTTTTTCCCCACCAGCCATTTTCTGCCTTTTCTGTCTTTCATAATTGTATCACAAGCCAAGAAGGTGGCGGGCCAGCCCACCTCTCAGGTAGGTGTGTCTCTGGCACAAGGGACATCACTTCGACAGCCCCAAAAGGGTAAGAGCAACACCTCTGTGGACAGTTGGGAACACACCTTCTAACATGCTTCTCAGTGGGGTAGAAGTCTCTCCTACTGACCAAACCCCTCTTGTCAGTACCAATATCTGCCATCCTTATCTGTGACCTTGCATCCTCCCCTCTCCATTTCCTACAACCCCAAAATATCACCACATCTCCACAAATCCTTCCCTCCCCTCACTGCTGATTTCCACCCCAACAGGAACACCTTCGCTCTTTTTCCCCTTGCATTGAGATCTCAGCTCCTCATCCTCACCTCTGGAGACCTCCCCCATCCCCACAGCACACCTTGCTGTGACTCTGGAGACATCTCCATCGCTTCCCTCTGGCACTGATCTCCTCTGGGATGCTTCCATAAGGTCATGGCAACATTCCTGAGATCTCTGTGTGGATGGCCATGTAAAAGGAAAGGCAGATGAAAGGATAGAGAAAAAAACCTGGAGCTAGGGTAAAGCTGGGATGGTGATAACTCCAAGAGAAAAGGGTGGGAGATACATTTCTTTTTGTTTCTGGTGCAGAAAATCTTCCTCCTGCTTGGGCACCTCTGTCCTTAACTAAGAACAAAAGAAAAAGAAAAATAGAAATCATAGCATGTGACCTGTTTTATTGGACTGGATTAAGTGTGGGATTATAGGAGTGTTTAGAATGTTGAGCAGGGTTCCATTAAATTCTTCCTTGATGCTGCTTGTTTTCTAGGAATGGAAGGGATTTGCAGGGGGTTATTCAGATTAAGAATCTGGTGGAATCCTTGCAGCCTTGGTCAGGACAGGGGGCAGAAAAAGGAAATAAACCCCAATGATGACCTGGTATTGTCAGTTGAGGCAGAGTTTTCAATTTTTTAGCAACTTTTTCCTGTTAAATGCACTTCTTGCAGTTTCAAGAACAAAAATGAAGTGTGTGTGATCTGCAGGGTTTTTGGTGACTCCCCTCAAGTGGGGAGTAGGATGTGAGGAAGAGAAGGAAATGAAGGGAGGGAGAAAGAAGAAGATTAAAGTATCAGGGCTCTGTAAGGGTGAACTGAGCAGATGGCTTCCTGCCACCTGAAACTTCCACTCTGCAAAATCCCATTAAGTGCAAAGTTTAAAGAAGTTCTGGATATCAAAAAGAAGCAGCTATTTAGAGCCTCGATCACCTGCCAAATGTGGCTTCCCCAAACCCCAATGGATATTTCCAGCCCAAATCACATTTCCCTTTCCCCATGTCCCAGTCATGCTCCTCTTTCCTAAGAAGACGGTCTCATTTGTAAAACAAAATGCACAGTGACCCTGCTACCATAGCTGGTGACTGGTCATGTTCCCATGCAGGGATGTCTGGGACTAAACAAACCAAATTGGAAGCAGGACTCCTGGAGCCCAGGTATGGTGAACCCTTTGGATGAGTCCCTACACATTACAAATTTATTTCTAATTTATATTTCTAAACTAATTATTACAGAATGGATTCAGAGCAGGCAGCAAGCAGCTGAGGGGCACCTGCAGTGCCAGGCGTAGATGGAGCTCTGGTGGCAAGAGCTGGAGGCAAGACGCCACTGCTGACCCTCTGCAAAACAAAAGGGCACAGGGAGCTGTGGCAGACAGGCACGTGGACACTCCAAGACACTGCAGGAGCCAAGGACTCAGCAAGAAGAGCCCACTTTCCCATGCACTCAGATAATAAGGGCACGGAAGCCAAGGGTTTCCTTTGTTGGAGATTCCTTCTGGAGGCTCTCACCCCAAGCTGTTACTTTGTTCTTGTATTATTAAATTGTTTGAAGGATCCAGATGTCTGAGGCTGTGCTGTGGGAAACCAGGGGCTGAGGCAGTAGGGAAGCCCAGTCTGACTGAGTGGGGAGTGTGGAGCTGCCAAGGCTCAATCCCAGCTCTGGTGGTGTGAGTGTGACTGCCAGTGCGGTTCCTGGTTTCTTTATAAAAATTAGAAATATTTTATAGTTCCAATACACATTTCTAATGGAATTTATTTAATTTCTTTTGTGTGAGAGGGCTATGGCATCATGCTGCTGAGGGGGCTTGGCATCATGCTGGACCTTTCCGATAAACTCTGCTTCAGGTGGTGAGAAAAGAGCCCAAGGCAATTAAAAACATGAAGAGCACCAAAAAAACAGTGTTCTTTTATTGATCTAGATGAATTATATTTTAAAAACCATATGCCTTCATCACAATTTATGGCTCATTGTCCTACTTCAAAATGAAAACATTGCAAAGGAAATAATTTCAATAATTAAGAACTGTCTGGAAATATCTGTATAAACTGGCATCCATGCCAGACAGAAGTGTTATTTTTGTGCTGAGGAGTTTCAATTCTGCTGTCCACAGATGAGATTTTTTTTCTTCTGTTTTATATCTTTTATGTCTTCTACATGGAGAAAAAATGATAAAACCTGGCTCTACAAGCATACAATAACTGGGAAAATAAAGCTCTTTTCCCTACACTATATAGACTGTGTGTTAACTGTGACTATGTTGAGGTTGTGAAGTAGTTCCAGAGAAGGAGGAAACTTGGAGCTTGGTCTCCATGGTTTCACCTTGCTTAAGGCACCTTATATAAATTCCAGGTGGCTGTCTTCTGGGACATTATATTTAGCTTTGTGCTTCTCAAAGAGCTCGGACAACTCTTTTAGGTATTTTTCATGGAGTTGATCAACTTCTTCATCTGAGGGTTTGTGCTTCTTCTGCACTGGAATTGGCTTCCCAACTGGAAAAGAAGTACAGGTGTTAGGAAGAGCCAGAGTCAGGCATCTCTGAACACTCTGCTCACCCTAGCATGGAGCTGAGGCCAGCCCATCCAGGATGGACAGGTCAGCATGCCAAGGTATTTCCTGGAGCCTGGGAGACAGCACAGACACGGAGGGATGGTGGCTCAGATCCTGACCAAGCTCTTGGTCTCCAGGATCACACTGGTCCTTGCCTCAGTTTACCCATCTGCAAAGCTGGCTAATGTCAAAGACCCTCTGTGCAGCCTTTTGAAGTAAGCAGTGCTGTATCCCAATGCAGTCCCAAGAGCTGCTTCTCACATCTCAGATGTGCTGCAGATAAACACAATGTAAAGACAGGATAATATTTGGGTTGGGTTTTCCAAGTTGTTTCCACATGGCCCTGGGAATCTGCATTGCAAATGGGGAAAGTGAGGAACAGGGGAGCCTCACACTATTTAAATACACTTGCACCAAAGGTGCTTCCACTTTGCTCAGATTAAAGATTCTGTGAAATATCTGATTTTTATTAGGAACCAAGTACTTACTTATCTTTTAAAAAGCATATTTTATTCAACAGCAAATCTAGTTATTTTGATTCCTGTCTTTAGAAGAGCCTTTCCATCTCCCAGAGCTACAAGGAGCAGGGGACAGTGAAGATCCATGAGGTACTTTTGCTCTGGTCTCTTACTCAAATTGTTTTTGTCAAGTGATGGAGGGTTTCAACATGTTGTAAGGCTATTCTTCATCCAATTAGTGAAGAGCCCATGTGATACTACACAGCTCATAAAACCATTGAGACAATCCAAACAGGTTCTAATACAATTAGAAGTAATTGCTCATTGTCAAACTTAATCAGTGGTGTATGCTCTAACCATTCCAAACAGCATTTTTATTAAATTAATTCACAGAGCATCAGCCACACTGGTGGACCAAGCATGGAGATGTTGGAAAACTTATTCAAAACCAAAGATTTTCTTGAAATCTGGTCTCCCACGGACATGGTCTCTGGCCAAAATGGTTCATCTTCCTCACATGCAAGTAGGTTTGGATTTGCAGATGTGTCTGCACAGGACAGTGAGCAAAGCTGCAAACTGCTTGACTGTTTGGAGAATCACAGAATGGTTTGGCTTGGGAGTGACATAAATATCCTCTCATTCCCCCCCCCCCCCCCCCCTTGAATAGGGACACTCTCCACTAGATCAGGCTGCTCTAAGCCCTGTCCCAGCTGCCCTTGAACACTTCCAGAGAAGCGGGGCAGCCACAGCTTCTCTGGGCAATGTGTGCCACATCCTCACAGCCAAGAATTTCTTCCCAATATCCATATAACCCTGCCATCCAGTTACTCCATGCCCTTTTCCAAAATCCCCCTTCAAATTTGCCCTTCAAGTTCGCCCTTTCTTGGAAGCCTTTAGCCACTGACAGAGGCTCTAAGGTCTCCTCAGAGCCTTCTCTTCTCCAGGCTGAATATCCCCAGCTCTCCCAGCCTGTCTCCCAGATGCTCCAAACCTTTGGAGCTTCTCTGTGGTTTCCAGCAGCTCCCCATCCTTCTGATGCTCTTGCCCTAGAGCTGGAGGCAGCACTGCATGAGGGGGTCTCACCTGAGTGGGGAAGAGGAACAGAATCCTCTCCCTTGACCTGCTGGTCCTACTTGTGTTTGTAAAACTGCCTTGGCAGATGTTTAATGCAACCCTACTGCAGTGTTCTTTGTAAACACATTGTGGTGTTGGGGCTGTCTGCATCTCACAGGAGTGATGAGCTTGGCCACATTTGATCTGGGGCTTTTCACAGCACAGCCCAGATGGGCTGGGATCTGTCATGACATCAAACCAGATTGCCAAAACAGTGAACAAGAAACAATTCCAAACAAGAACAGTTTGGAATGCTGCTCTGCAGCACATTTCTAGCCTACCCCTGCTTGTGCTCTCTGGCAGAGGCTCCAGCCTGGCAGGAGGATGACACAGACCAGGGACTGTCCCTGTTTCCCCAGTTTGGCCGGCCAAACTGGGTTTTGTGGATGGACTCACCCACGGTGCAGATGGGCCGCCGGTAGGGTATCACCCCGAAGCTGTACTGGAAGATGCCTCGTGCATGGAAGAGGGGAAGGGAGATGCCCATGATCTGCTGGAGAAAATGCTGAATCCTCCGCAGCCAGGAGCCCTGGGGATTCTTCACCTGATCAAAGACATCATTCTCCCCAAAGGAAAAGGCAGGGATCAGGGGGGTGCTGCAGGGAATCAAAACCAGTAGGGTGTCATGATTAGCAAAGCCCATTCCAAAACCCTTCATTCTTCTTCTCCAAAACAGAAACACCCCATTAACCAGCCACAGAGCCGAGCACCCCTCCCTCATTATCCCTGGATTCCACCCCCTTCCTCACCCATTCTGGATGGCCAGGCGCACAAATCCCTTCCTGTTCTTCAGCAGCAAGGTGAAGGATCCTGGACGGGCATCGAGGGCCTCCTGTGCCCCACCAACAATGATGGCCAGCAAGTTCCCGCCCCCTGGCTTCTGCAGCACGTAGGATGCACTCTCCTTGTCAGAGGGGATGAGGCCTGGAGAGCAGGGAGAAATTAAAAGTAAAGCCCACCTGTCTGTGGTTTGCTCTGCACCTTTTCCCCCCCATAATCTGTCTCTGGAGAGGTGCTAAAAATTTTATTTTCAGAGCTGAAAATCTCAGGTCAACTCCCTCAAAAGGTGCTAGATGTGCACACAGCTCTGCTGGGTGAGAACACAATTATCTATCTGATGTCTGGCTCAGAAGTGAGAAGTGAGAGAAAAATTAGGAAAAAATATAAACACAGAACTAGCTGCATTAAGTCCTAGAAAAAATCAGTTTCAATTTGTTGTCAAGTGAGACTGTGTCAAATTCTGAATAATTCTGATGTCGGAGAAACATTTGCTTTAGGTCAAAACACACACGCGTTTCAGTGGATGGTGCTAATTCAAAGTGGAATTTGATGAAGGATTTGGTCCTCTGGTGTTGTTTACTTGAATAAGATAGAAATCTTTAATTCAGATATGACAAAGCAACATTGTTTTACAATATTTTTTTAATTAAAAAAAAAATCCTTGTTTCAGGGGCTGAAATAATTTGCACATTAAAACCTCATTGATTGTGAAATGGATTCAATTGACCTGAAAATTAGTTATGCACCCAACTCTGACATTACAGTGACTAAACCTTCCTTCACCTGGGTCATAAGTGTCTCATATATCTCACTGTTTGGATTTTGCACTCTCCATGTAAATACTCTGGCAGCAGGAGCCAGTTTATGAGGAAAACAGGGTAATGGATGCCCTGGGGTACATCAGATGGAACTGGATGCCTGTGTTTAGCCTACTGAATTCTGCCCACATTCAGCTGGAAAAGTGACCATTGCCAAGCTCACTGCTGAGAGATGGAGGTCATCCTGCTGGTGTCCAAAAATCTCTCCAAATTCTCTCAGTTTAATTTTTATCTGTCCCTTTTCCTATCCTTTTTCACTACATCTTCCTCCCTGTCACATTCCATTGCAGCAGCATGAGCTACTATTTTTATCCTCTGTCCCTGGATGCTGCTTCCCTGGAAGCAGCAGATCCTTCAGAGAGAGCATCTTTTTCCTCACAGTTTCAGGCCTGAATATAATTTTTATGGAAAGAAATATAGGAACATCCTGGCCTGCAGCTCTCAGCATTTCTGTTCACAATTTGCTCCACATTTTGCTGTTCCACAGCACCAGCACAGTGATGCCCTGAGCACAGAGACCATTTATGGAGTTGAACAACAGAGATAACAGTAAGGAGGGCAACTTTTAACTTCAGAGGTTTTGAGTTGCCATCTCGAATAGCTGTGTCCATGAATAGGATCCAGTTGGCCCCAGATGAGGGAAAGCAGACCCTTGACTCCTCCTCCCCATGCATTTTCACTCTATGTTCCTCAAAAAAGCACCCACACATATTATTGCCTGCCATTGGCCCATGCTCCTTACCTCCACTCATCACATAGTCCCTGAAGAATGGGAAGCGAAACCACAGGGAAAGCAACATCAGGTGGGGGGTGATGCCTGGGAAGAGTGTGGAAAAGCCAGATGCCTCTGTGCAGAAATTGATGAAGGCTCCAACTGCCAGGACTCCATGGGGATGAAACCCCACCAGGTAGTTCTGCCGGGGGTCCAGCTCTGCTGTCTTCACCAACTGGACACAGAGATGAAGCCAAAAAGTGGTCAGGGTTAGTGCTGTAACCTCAGCACGGAGGGACACTGGCTATGAAGAGCAGATAAGGTATTCCTGGAGGGGAGCGTCATGCACCCACCATGCCTTTCTATTGGAAAAGGTTAACTGGAACAACTCCCCCATTTTTCACTGAAATGTATTTCATTGCCCATATTTCCATCTCCTGCTACCCATTGGCCTAAAATGACTTTTCTAATGGCACAGTTCATTATGTTGCCTTGAACTGGTCTAGGTGCTATTGGGAACCAATTTTGTTTAAAATGTTCTCCTATAAATTTTCTAATATGGGAGGGAAATCAAGAAAAGGGTGATTTCTTCCGCACAGTACCTCTTGATCCCACAACCAGAACAACAGAGGGAGTACATAATCACTCTGGTAGACCTACTACACAGCCCAAGCACGTGTCCCACCCAACAGCTTGGTGTGGATCAAAGGTTTATCCCATCCTGAAGCACGTGCCAGGTGATTCCTGGGTGTTTTCACACATGGTAAAATGAAATCTAATTCTCAGACATCTAACAGAGAAGCTGATGGTTTCCTTGCCACTGGGGAAAGCCTGAAGGATGCCAGATGTTTGTTTGTGCCTGTGTTGGGTGCCCAGGTCCATCAAAGAGCAGTGGATGTCTGCCCAAGGCTGCTGCAGCTTTGGCAGGAGGGAACAGAGAATTCCCATACCCAGCATTTTAGGGATGGGCAGCATGGATTGCAGACACAGGGCAGCTCATGGCCAGCCCTTGAGGGCTGACTAAGCAGCTTGTTAAAATCCTCAGCCAATCTGAAAGTGATATTCAAGCCTGGGATATACCACATGGGAGAATGGGTACCACAGAACAAGAGGGGATGGTTAAAGGGAGATAAGGGACAACTGGGATTTGATCTCCATTGCACTTGTTATGGACTGCCCAGGGGAGAGGAGCTGGTGTGACAAACCCAGCCTCCAGCTCTGGCACCCAGAAGACCTTGCCGTGCCAACACCAGCCAGCATGTGCACAGCCCAGGCAGAAGCAGGCATACTGACTGCTGAAATCTCTGCACCATTTCTGTGGATGCTGAACACTCACAGCAGCAGGGAAGGATGAACTTTTCAAGGTTAGTCATCACATCATTTCATCACTGAAGGGATGGTCAGACATTGAAACAAGATGACTAGGAAAGTGGTGGGACCACAGTCCCTGAAACTGTTCAAAAATATGTAGATGTGGCACTTGGGGACATGATTAGGTGGCATTTGCAATAGTGCTTGGGAACAGTTGGACTTAATATTCTTAGAGGGCATTTCCAACCTGAACAATTCTGTGACTCTGTTATCAGAGAGCCACCATGCCTTTCCAGACAACTCAAAGGCATTTGTGCTCAAGAACAACCAAAGCTCTATGCATTTAAGTGTCATCACTCCAAGTACCCTGATTCCATCTGCACTCAGGGTGCAGTTAATGGTGCATGTGTTTTCCTAGAAGCTGCCAGAACTGCAGGTTAATCATGAGAGTATATTTTACTTTCTTCCATCGTGACTCATTTTCCACCTGTCTGAAAGCACTGTTGACTGTACATGTGCCCATTCCAGCTGCTCCTAATGAGGGGAATGGACAAACCAAGTCCCACTACTGCCCAGGAAGAGAGGCAGATGGCTGAATCGCTAAGTGCCCACCATTTGCTCTTTTTTGAGTAATCTCAGCCTGCATCCATGTTTCCTGCATTCATCCTCAGCTTCCAAACAACGCTTCATCTCCAAGCGATTTATAAGCAGGGAAGCAAGATGTTCAGGCGTGTTAGAAATTGCTACATTTCTGGCTCTGTGCATGCAGGGAGACACAAGAGGGCAGCCACTGAGTGGTCAAATTGCCTTGATGGGAGAGTTTGCCTGTGCTAAGACACCACACATCTGTAAAAACACTCCCTAAGAAACATCCAGCTGCTGTCTCGGTGCTCATCCCAATGAAAGAGGGAGGAGAACAGGAAGGAAAGAACAAAGGTTAGTGCTTGGAGTGATAAGACAAGGGAGAGTGGTTTTAAACTGAGAGAGGGATAATTAAAACTAGATACGAGGAAGAAATTTTTTATTATAAAATTAGTGAGGCCCTGGCACAGGTTGCCCAGAGAGGCTGTGGCTTCTCCATTCCTGGAGGTGTTCATGGCCAGGTTGGATGGGACTTAGAGCAACGTGGTCTAAGGAAGGTGTCCTTGTTCCAACAAGGATCAGTTTTAAGGCCCCCTCCAACCCAAACCATTTTGTGATTCTGCGGTAAGATGTGGGCAACTGGCTCTGGGTGGTCCTGCTTGAGCAGTGGGTTGGGAATGTTGACCTCTGGAGTTCTCTTCCAATGTCACCCAGTCTTTGAATCTGTGATTTTTGATGCCCTGCTCTAAGCCATGGGCAGCTGGAGGGTAGCAGCTGAGTCCCTCAAGTGTTGGTGGATCTGGGTGATGTTTCTGCAAGTGCTGTCCCCTGCAGTAGCCCTGAGGAAAGAAGGTCCTCATTTTGTCACAGAGCCTTCTCACATTGGGATGATTTGGCCAAAACTCACTGAGAAACCAGAGAGCTTGTACAAGACTGAGAAGGAAATCTGTAGCAGAGGAGAGACTTAGGCAAAGTCTCTAGATAACATGGGTCTAGACTCTACACTGTCCTTTTCCCCTGGAAACTCTTCAATACAGAAACTCCATCTTCCCTTCTGGATTGTTCCCACTGTCGCACTCCTTCCCCCTCCACCTGGCAGAGGTCAGTCTCCATTCCCAAACTTCCAGGAAGGCTAATAATGTGACTCTGCACAGCTTCCCCCTCCTGCTGTCCAGCCAAACTGCGTAAGGAAACTGGGTTTGAGGTGCCAAGGAGTGGGACTATCCTCCATCCTGCCTCAAATAAGTTGTCCTTTCCACACTCTCTGGATGGCATTCGCAATTCCCGTCTTTATGAGTGAACTGAACATTTAATAATTGTCAAAGTACTTAAGAGTCCAAACAAGCTGGTGTGTGCATGAGCATGAGAAAATCCAGGGTTTTTCTGGTGAAATAAGAGCAGTTTCTCATCTCAGAGGTGTCTGAGGAATGCCAAGTTAATGTGTCTGACCTGTGGTCTGGAAGCAGCTGTTGGCAGCTCAGGGTTGTGCTCTCCAAGCTGAGCCATGGGTTTGTTGACTTCCTTGAGATTCCCTTTGGCATCGTCAGGATGCTGGCTGATGCCTTGGCTGCTGCCAGCAGTAATGATTCATTCTCAATAGTGTTATGAAGCCCTCTGAATCCCAGGTATGGGATGATCTTGGCCTTCCTAACAAATAAAATTGTTTAGGATGGAAAAGCCCTCTTAAGATCATGGAGTCCAAATGCTCCCGCAGCACTGCCAAGACCACCACTAATCCATGTCCCCAGCTGCCATATCCACATTAACATCCCGAATAGGAGACCAGATCAGCAAGCTCCTGGCTTCTTCATTTAAAATCTCCCAAACTGAATTGCTACTGCTTTTCTATCCTTCTCTGGTCCCAAACTCTGTTTCCATGGATGTCATAGTCAGTAATCTGCTCTTAAGTAGGATAAACCTTTCAACTTTGTACTAAACAAATCCTCATGTCTGTAGCTCTCCATAGACACCTCCCAAAATCATCTCTTGCAAGATGGAACATGCAGCCAGTTCCTCTGTAAGAAGAAGCCCAGCAAAGGTATCCAGGAAACCCAACCAGATCTGAAGAAGGACAAATTGTGCCAAACTGAGAAGAAGCAGGTCACCCACCCAAGGGTGTCTGGATGGGAGACCAAAGGAAGGGCAAGTTTCTGAGTACCACTAGCAGCTGCTGAGCAGGATGGGTTTCAGCTCCCAGCAATGGTGAGAGCTTGAGAGGCACAGCTGGAAACAGTGAGATCTTTGAGCCCTGGGGTTTTCTCCTGGTGCCACAATGTTAGGTCAGAGCTGCTTTTGCAGCAAATATCGGAGAACCTGACCAGCCAGGTGGATTTAAATTGAGTTTGGATGGGACTTCACCACCCTCACTCCCAAAGCAGGGTAAGGATGGAAGCTCCAAATTGCTCAAGTCCTCCCTTCCTCTTGTAGGGTTTCCTTTATCCAGTGGATTAGCAGTGCAAATGGTGGGACACAGTCCTCCAATGGATCTCAGCCATTGCCCCCCTTGTAGTGGTTTTGGTTCACCAGTTTCAGATTTCCTCAGTTTTGAGATTTTCCTGGCCAATGCACCAAAGAGTGTGGTGGGTTCGGTGCTGGCCAATCACCAGTGCACTCACTTCCTGCTGTGAGACAGGATCAGGAGAAAGGCAAAGCAGGCTCAAAACTTTAAAAGGGTGTAAACAAAATTTTATTAAAAGTAACTAAAAGAAAAAGGTAGTAAGAATCAAAACAAACCCTTCAGAACACTTCTCCCCCCACCTTTTCCTTCCCACTGACAATGTAAAGAAAAAAACCCTAAAATTTCCAGTCAGTTTACCACCTCTAAAATAGTCTTTCTGCAGAAGTCCTTCCCATTGCCACAAGCCTTCCCACAGCTTGTCAATGGGCCATGTCGACTTATGGGGTATTGTTTTAAAGATGAGCTATTCAAAGGCAAAAGTTCTCATTGTCTATCTCTAAAATAATCTTCATCCCTGAGAATAGACATCTTCTTTTCCTGGCGACACCAGACTACTCTTATCTCTTTCTCTGTTCAGGCTTCTCATGGGATCACAACTGCTCTCACATCTGCTTACTTTAGCATGGAGGCCTTTGCTCAATATCAACTTGAACTCTTCATCTCCCCATAGTTTCATGCATTATAGGGAAAAAGAGTCTTTTTCTCCATAACTTACAAGAGGATTTCAGCCCCAAGACCAAGGCATCTCCTCATCCCTCCCCTCTGCGACTATAACAGTGGAAAGCAGCTTGAGAAAGGAAGATGAACATCACCTCAAGGATTTATAGTTTCGACCAAGGGAAGCTGGACATCACTGTTATGAGATTTATAGTCCTTGCAATCAA